TCAGCCCTGATGAGCTAACTTTGTGATGGGTCTGGTATGCCTGTGTGCAAGCACAATTCTGTTAATATATGTACATGTATACTGTTTTTATAAAGCAACCAGTGCTGAATGTTTCGATGAAACATTATTGGCATAGCTTGAATAACTGGCAGAATATTAGCCAAAAAAAAATAGTTCTAACATAGTTTTTAAAGCAAATCCTTTTTTTTTTTTTTTCTCCCTAAACAAAATCAGGAGGTATTGATTTGTTATTCACAGAATAAATAAACAAACATGGCACAATCATCTTTTAACTCTTGAGGCTTGCATACATGAAAAATGGCTGGAGTAGGAGCAGAGGGAATTGTAGCCTGTTATTTTTAGGAGCGCCTTGTGTGGCGCTTCATTCTTTTTCCAGGGCTGTTCCTGGCTAACTTTCCCATGAGTTTTTAACCTCTTGCTCTTGTTCTCTTATGTAACAGGAAACAGGCTGACAGGAACAAATAAAACACAGTGTATCTGATAGTCACGCTCAGAGGAGCGGCTGATTTAGTTAGCCCCTGCCTTCGTTCCTCCAAAGTAGATACATTTGGAGACTCAGATGTGCTCCTCTCCAGTTGTTTCTCGGGAAGCGGTGACTTGTTTGTCTTCAGCAAACAGCACCCAAGTACTGCAAATATGAGAAAGCAGATGCATTTCTTTTAGGGTCGAGATCTGTGGCGGTGTCATGTCCTGGGATTGCGGATTTAAGTATCTGTTTGCTCTTTCTCCCACCCTTAAGGCAGGGGTTTTGTGCAAGCTCCAGGGCAGAGATGACATGGGACGCATTGAGCTGGTCCAGAAGCTGGCGAGAGAGAACTGCCAGTTTCTGCAGGCGGATAGAAAACCACCGGAGAAGGCAGAACAAGTAAGATGTTTCATGTTTGGGTTTGTTACTTCTTTCTGGTGGGAGGGGGGGAGAGATTTAGGTCACAAAACTGAAACAGCAAAACTGAGGGTCAGAATCCAGAGCACACATTAGTCATGGGGCTGCTGTTGCTCTCCTCTGCCGTTTACATTTCTCTGAAGTGCATTCAGTTCAGTAATTGCCAAATTATTATGTTGTCATTAACTATCAATTACTGTTATTAATGTCTTACACACATGGGAAATAGATGATTTCACGATGCTTTCAACTACATTGTTGTCAGTGATCATGAAATATTTGGGTTTTAGGGTGTATTTAAATAATGTATAAGGTGCATAAGCACTTCAGGTACTTACTTTAAATTGTCTTAAAATTACTTTGCTTCTGGTATACTTGGATGCAAGCATTGGCTGGAGATTTTCAGCATGAATTAAAAAAAATCATCTGGGTTCAGCAGTTTCTTTAAAAAAAATCTGTTTTCAACCAAAAGTTACACTGAAGGAAGCAGCATTCTATTTAATGCTTCTGAAAGCACTTATTCAGATGTTAATAACTGAACTGAAGATGCACTAAAACTTGACTGCTCTGCATGTAGCACAATTTATCCTAATTTTGTTCTAGTAAAAATTTCTATTCTGATTGCATGTTCATCTAAAGGTGGCCAGAATAATAGCTGCAAGAAACAACAAAGATCCCAGCTAGCCTTCATGTGGCTAGCTATAATGTATATGTAATTTATTCCATTTTCTCCTCACTGGACAGTGGAAAAATGGCATGTGCATTAGAAAATAAATAGGTTTCAGCTCATCTGCAAGCTCATTCTTACTGAAGTAAGGCTACACAAAAGACAAGAGAACGATGGCATCTTTTTGCAGAGCTTCATGCTGTTCTGTTTGGCAGCATATAAGGTCTAGTCTGGTGTAGTTAAATATGTAATTGGATCAGTAGGTGTGCATGAGGGAGGAGGCTAATTACTCAGGCTCAAATCCCCAAGATTGAACTGTTGCTCAGCTGATCCACTAGCCATGGACATCTGGCAGCATTTCGATATGTCTTTAAACCGTATCAGCAAAGTGCAATTAAAAGTTTAGTGCTTAAGTAAAGAAGATTTTAAGCCAGGGAAGGTTTCTAATTGTGCTTCAGGATTTGGAAGCAAGATTACAGATGCTGTGGGTGTAGGGCAGAGAGGATTGTTGCGACTGATACTCCAAAAATTCAGTGGTTATTTTTGCCACTTACTCCCATCATTGCAAAGACTGCTCTGGTGTCAGCTGCAGCTCTGTAGCTTACACTACAGTTCCAAAAATGGAAAGGAAAGAAGTGCTCAGCTTTTCTTTGCCTTTGAAAAGTATGATACTTAGCAATTGCTGCTATTAAGGAGATGGATTATTTCAGTTTAGCAGGAGCTAGAGCGAGCTGCTCATACCCACACTGAGCAGTACAACGCAGCAGTTGCTGCTTTTGGGCAAGGATGTGCCTTTAGACCTAGGAGATGACAGGAAAGAGAAATACTGCCTGAGAGACTGCAGAAACCCAGGTCATTCCTCATGTGCCCTTTATTTCTGGGTGGGGAGTATGTTGGAGCTAGTGCTGGCAATAACAAGTTATGCTGTGCTGCCTGCCTGCCCTTTTCTGCACCTTGCTGGTTGCTGTAGGGTGGGGGGTGATGTGGCACTTCCAGATGTGAGAGAGACTTTTAGTCCTTGGTGTGGGCTTATTTGCTAAGCCCCCAACCAGTCTGTGGATTTCATTAGGAACAGTCACCAAAAAGGCCTTACTGAACAGAGACAAGGTCTGTTGTGGAGTTCTCAGTTTAGCTGACTCAGTTAATTTACTTTTACTGGAAAAAACCCAGGCCTTGCTCTGGTGGGGCCGGTGGGTCACATACGTTCAGGAAGCTGTGAGCTTCCATCCCTTCCTCTCCCTCCCTTCCTCTCTTGTAGTCTGAGAGCTGCTCTGCCCCATGTGCAGGTGGCAGGATTTGGCTGGCTGGGCAGAACTTGCTTCTCCCTCTCTTCTCCAAGGAGGAAAGCAGCAGGCTGGATGGCAGCGAGTGCTGCTTGCATGCAGGCATTCAAACTCTGCCATCTTATCCTGCTGCTCCAGAAGTGAGGGCAGATCCATTGGCATCAGCTTACAGCCTAGTCCCTTGTGCTTACTATCAGTGTTAGAGGAACAACATATTCAGGGTGTGGTGTCCTTAGAAAATTATATGTAGCCTGTCCGTATTTTCTTTCTTATTATTTGTTTATTTTTATTTTATTTTTAAAAGCATAGCTTGCTCTTACATTACTTTCTGAGAAACACAGGGTAACAGGCTCTCGATGTAGGCAGTGAAACAGAGCTGCTCTGCACATTCTCCACAGGACTCTCATTCCTCAGCAGATATCCCTGTGCTAAAGCTTTCACCAGCTTTCCCTCTTGGGGAGCTCCAACTGTGCTTTCACGGATGATCTGCCTTCCTCAAAGGGATGTCATTCGGTCTGTAAATGAGATGCCTGAACACCATGCCAGGCTCCCCTGCCTGCACTGGGAGAGCTGGCCAGCCAGGCTGGCCTCTGGGCAGCACGTCTCGGAGCAGAAATACTGCTGGTTTGCAGGGCTGTGGGTGTAGGTTTCAGTCAGCCCAGGACAGTGTTTCTGTTTTAGGCTGGGGACTTTATACCCTGCCTGGAGGTAAAGCTGCTCTTTCCAAGATGGCCAAGAGGGAATTTTTGCACAAGGCAGCAATACCAATACCTTCTTTCCTGTGCAGTGTATGAGGGAGGTGTGGAACTGCCTGCAGAAATTACCCTCTTTGTGTTTGTAGCATTCTGAGTGTGGTGGGGAGCTAGGCTGTGAGGAGAACTGATGAGGCCTCCTATCATTCAAATAGTGACCAACTTCATCTGAGTTTGAAAACAGAACTTTATGACTCAGGTAGGTAAGGCAGATGACATGTTGGATGCACAGGAGTCTGGTTTTCAGGAGGTTTTTTTGGCAGATAAAATACCTAGTTGTATGGTTCGAGGTTGGAGACTGTGGTCAGTGGCCTGCAGTAGGCAGGTGTGGCAGGTTTGGGTCACTGGTTCAGAAAGATATGAAATGTAATAATTTTTTTCTCAGGAAAAACACATGGTCTGGAAGAAGGAAAATATATGACAGCTGGGTGGTTCAGTGAGGAAACAGCTTGGTTTGGAGCTGTGGTGGCAGAGAAAAGGAATTCCTTCATCTTGGATGTGTTCTGGAGGGTATACATTTGGGGCATATATGTGACAAGTGACAATCTTGTACGTGCATACATTTTTACTTCATGTTTTAAACACCCAAGTTGGAAAGTCCATACTGCTTTTGTTCCAGATTTCTGGTATGCTATAATTTATTTTAAAATTTATCGTCTGGATAAAAAAATTGTTCTTAAAAAGTCCTATAATTTAAAATATTTTATGTGCAGGCTCTGTTATATGTGAGCTACTTACTTGTTTCTGGGACTGCAAGCTTGCTGTTACCAGGTTAAACTGGTGCATTGGAACTGAGATTGTTCTTCTGAAGTACACAGTGCCAGGTTCCCCTCTAGTGAGTATAATGTTTGCAAAGTGCTCTAACTCTAATGGTGCTCACAGACTTGTAGAGGAAAACAATAACTAAATTGCAGTGATTTTTTTTCCTCATTCACACTTGTTAATCTGTTGGAATAAGGTTTTTAATTAACACACTGAACCTACCATATGTGTTAGGTTTCCTAAAACTTCAGTTTTGCTAATGAGTAGAAAGTAAACAGTAGTAAATAAGCTTCTAAATAGGCAGATAAGCTTGTTCTCTGCAGTGTTGCATTCCTACAGTGTACTGGAAAACACATAAAATAGTTGTCTAAAATGCATAAAAATTATTAAAATACAAAAAATGGGCTAGAAAAAAATGTAAGTTTGCAGTTCTAATTTTAACATTACATACAAATCACACTCGTAATCCTAGCAAAATGTAAAACTAGATATTTATATTTTTATATTATTTGAGTATTTCATTCTCTTAAAACAATTGCTTTCACAGAAAATACATGAAAAATCAGTGTGTAAATACTCAGCTATAGAATGAGTCTGCTTTTTTGAGATGTTTGCTTGCTGTTAGCATTAATTATAATACAGAAAACAAGCTCTGTATCTAAAGACATTGATGTAACTTCTCATAGCCTTTTTTTCTCGAGTGTATATTTGAGATGCATTTGAGGCAAAGCTGCACTAAACTGTATTTTTTTGGAACTCCTTTCAAGGAGTTCAAGTAAATAATGCCTTTGTAATAAATGTGATACTGTTTGTACAGTATTTCCAGTTTGAATTTTAGTGAAGCTTTACACTGCTAAGAAAATCACATCTGTTTATGGTGTCTTAGCAAAATTGTAAAAGTGCTTTTCACCTCAGCAACAGGAGGAAAATATTCTTTAGATTATATTACTGTTTCCATAGTCAGATCAACTGAATAAACTCTCTGCAAATTGACAGTAATGTTCAAAGGAAATTTAAAATTCTCTAATATGTTCAGTAGAGAACTAAAGAATATTAATTCCTTTATTCAATTATATAAATTATATTCTGGGCTGGGGCTTTTCCAGTACTTCCATGATTTAGTGGGGGAGGAAATGTTTCCTAAATCCACCTTCTAATTCCTTTACAGATATATATTAATTGGAGTTATGTAGTGTTGACAAGTATTTAAGTACAAACAGCTTGAATGTACTGATGCTGTGACTTAGTTCAAGAAGAAAGAGTTATGAAAGAAAGGGGCAGGTGTGTTTTCAGAAGGACAACAGGTCCTGAAGAACATTTTGTTAATTTACTGGGTACTAAAATTTGTAATCCGTGGTCTCATTAAGAAGACAGATGATTTGCTCATTGAAGTAGGTTAGTGGTTGGGCTGTTAAAAGGCTTAAAAAAGAAGATTAACGATTTAGAGCCTCAGGTTGTACAGATTACTCATGACTGAGGAATTTCTTGAGGAAATTCCAGCCATGAGTTATCAAGGTTATTTTAGGGTGCAACTACCTGTCCAGCTGAATGCCTGCGAGGAGACAAGAATGAAAGACTCAGGAGGTGTCTGGAGCTGCCGTTTCTGTCAGCCTGACAAAGCTGTGGTGTTGCACTGAGGTACTGTTGAACTGATGGTCTGTAATCAGGACTCTGATGCAAAAATATTCTTTAAAACCATGATGTTAAGTGACATCTGAATATAGTAATTGACTGAAATCTGTGCTTTACATTTTTAAAAAGTCGTCACTGCTTTTGTTGTATCTGCTTTGTCTGGGTTAGATCTGTTGGGTAGCTTGAGTGCAGATTTATTGCTTTTGGCTTCTGGAGGCTGTTCTGCATCTCTTGCAGAATTGTGGATCAAATGGACATAACAGCTGTAGCATAGTAACAGTTTTTGCAGAAACTTTCATGGCTTGAATAGCCATGAAACGGTATAGATGTCTGAAGTCATCAAACCAAGACAGAGTTAGCACGTTAACACAGGAGTTTGCTCTTTCC